TGTATGATCAGGGACATAACACTTTATATGTGTGTTCAGAATGCTCTGCGAGAATTTTTGCAGGAGGCCTCAGGTTGTGTCTTTAGAGAAGTGGCCTGGCGGGCTTGCCTGAGCCCACAGGACAGGGTGTTCCTGATGTGGTGAAGCATCACCATGATATCAGCTGCCTGAAGCAGAGCAAAAGTCTTTTGTTTCCCAGCTCAAAGAATACTTGCCTGGCTGCCCTTTGGACTTCTCCAGTTGTAACCTTCCTTCCTGCCACAGGCTGGTTGCCAGACCATGACTGTCCCATTGCTACTCTCACATAGAACCTGCTCCAGTCTCTGAGAGGACAAATAGCCCTGTCCTACCCCTACTGCAAAACCAGAGGACTGCCCAGGTGCCTTCAAGTCTGTCCCTGTTTTGCTTCCTCAGATGTTCTTGTTTTTTTTTTTCTTCTCAGTTTGTTAGTGAGAATTGGGGGTGATTCTATGAAAAATATTCCAGTATAAATCAAGTTTTCTAACATCAGCTTCTACTATATCCAGTGCCTAAACTAACCCCAAAAGATTTGGACAATTTATTGGGACCTGAAAATAAATGAATAAATAAATAACCCTGAAAGAGAAATACACTCATGAACATTAAGACACTACTTCAACCGATCTGTACAGCAGCCATGGAATTATGATTTGACCCACTTTACAAATAAGGAAACAGAAATTCAAGAAGGATCAATCATTTGCACAAAGTTAGTAAACACAGTGCTGAGACTAGAGCCTAGGTAATTCTGATTCTTAGTCCACAGATCTTCCCAATCTAACAGGCTGCCTTCTGTCGTACTGTTCTTTCTGACCACAAAGATTGAACGGAGACTTCTGCTTCCGGCCAAGTTGGAGTAATAGGGACCAGATTTGTCCTCCACCTTAAACAACTAAGAAACTGGAAAAAGCATTTTAAACTCTAGCTTCAACATTGGATATAGTGCAGTACAGTACAGTGATCCCTGAGAGAGAGAAAATAAAAGAGGTGAACCCTATGATTGCTCCAGTTTCCTGCCTGAGATTGTCAAGTGCAGAGCAGGGAGGGAGGACCCAGGCAGAGCCTGGTAGTAAGCTTGAAGAAGTCAGGGTGGCTAGACATCACAGGACAGACTAGAGAATAGATTGCTGCACAGACAGAATGCCTTGAATATCTGTCTTCAATCTTCAGCTAAGTACTGATTAGTACATGTATTTGAGGGAATTATGCAAAGCAGGGGAAAGAACTTCCCAAAAGGAATAATATCTGTAGCTCACACAGAGCTTGCAACACTTGGTGTTTCCATCAACTACAGTGAAAATCCCTTTTAATAGAGGGAACATTGGTTAGAACAGGAGTCCCCAATCCCCAGCACTGGTCCATGGCCTGTTAGGAATGGGGCCGCACAGCAGAAGGTGAGCAGCCAGCCAGAAAACATTACTGCCTGAGCTCTGCCTCCTGTCAGATCAGCGCTGGCATTAGATTAGCATTGGAGCACAAATCCTATTGTGAACTGTACATGCCAGGGATCTAGGCTGCACGCTCCTTAGGAGACTCTAACTAGTGCCTGATGATCTGAGGTGGAACAGTTTCCTACTGAAACCACCCAACTCCCAACCCCTACCATCCCACCCCCACCTTGTCTGTGGAAAAATTGCCTTTCATGCAACCAGTCCCTGGTGCCAAAACTGTGGGAGATCACTGGCTTAGAATCTTCAAAAGAGTGTTCCCCCAGTGTAAACTATGGACTTTGTGTGATAATGATACGTCAATGTAAGTTCATCAACTGTAACAAATGTACCATTCTGGGGAGAGATGTTGATAGTCTAGGAAGCCATGCATGTGTGGAGGCAGGGGGTATATGGGAACTTTTTGTACTTCCTGCTCAATTTTGCTGTGAATCTGAAACTTCTCTAAAAAATAAGGTCTATTTTCTTAAAAGTCATATTGCCCCCATAGTGGGAAAAAAATAGCCGTTGACTAATAGCTGTGCTTATCCTGCCTAAAAAATTTAAAAAGCCGGCTTGAAAAGATGCAAATTGTTTTTAAGTAACTTTATTATATACTAAAACAAAGTCAAAAGAATTTTAACACAAAATGCAAAAAATCCAGCATTCAATAGGTTACAATTTGCAATGTCTAACACCAAGTCAAATAATGTTAGGAATGCAGAGAGACAGAAAACCATAATCCATGATGAGTAGGGAAAAAAAATCAATCTACTTAAACTGACTTAGAAAGGACACATCAGGTGAGAATTAAAAAACAATAGAAAGGACACAGATGACAGAATCTGTAGACAAGGACATTGAAACAAATATAACTATATTCCTTGTATTAAAGAAGCTAGGCCAGGTGTGGTGGCTCATGCTTGTAATACCAGCACTTTGTGAGGCCAAGGTGGGTGTGTCACCTGAGGTCAGGAGTTTGAGACCAGCCTGGCCAATGTGGTAAAACCACATGTCTATAAAAATTACAAAAATTAGCTGGGCATGGAGGCAAGTGCCTATAATCCCAGCTACTCAGGAGGCTGAGGCATAGGAATCACTTGAGCCAAAATCTCACCACTGCACTTCAGCCTGGGCAACAGAGTGAGACTCTGTTTCAAAAAATAGAATAAAATAAAATAAAGAAGATAGAGGAAAATATGAAATGATGAGGAGTTACATAGAAGAGTTTAAAAAAGACATAAATAAAATTTAGATGAAAAATAAAGTCTGAGATGAAAATACACTGGACAGGATTAATGGCAGATTAGATGCTGCTGAGGAAAGATTAATCAATTCCAAGACATGGAAATAGAAAGAAAGAAAGACAGAAAAAAGAGATACAACAAAAAATGAACAGACCATTAGTCAACTGTGGTAAAATTTCAAAGCAGCTAATACAAACATAACTGAAGTCTTTGAAGGAGAGAATAGAAAGAATATATATTATATATATTTGATATATATATATGCCATATATAATATATTGTATATGCCATATATAAGACATACATGTCATTATTATTCAAATTTGATCAGAACTATAAACATGCAGATGCAAAAAACTAAATAAAGTAAAACAATACATAAAAGATAAAACTATA